ATGTCAACATATTCTGTTACACCAAATACACAAAATAATGATCTTTAAAAAAGCATCATATGACCCCTTTAAGTGAGCTTTTTTATTTTCTGCAAGTACAGTTTTTTTAATATAGTTTTAAGATTTGAATTACACACAAGTGCACATTTAATAGTTAAGCAAAATTATTTTCACAAAGGTGGTGCTTACCTATGCAGAGACCATTAATCACAGATAGAAAGCAAATAAAAGTTGAAAAAGAAGACAAATTATTATTGTGATATCACATTAATTTTCCCTCAACAGAACATAGCCTGGTTTTTTGACTTTACAATATCAAATTAGAATATGCTGTGGACCAGATGTCATGCTGATAGTCAAAATCCGTTCTCTGTGTGACGTCCAATTACTCTTCATTCTGATGCAACCACAACAATCTGCCTCCACAAGCCGGAGGACAAAAGAGCTGCATCATCACTTCATACCTGCAGTTCCTTTTTTAGTGACTGACAGCAGAATTCTCACAATAAACAGTGATGGTCGGATGCACTCTGAACACTTCGGGCCAGGAGAAACATGCACATAATGCAACGCTTTCAGGTGCCACTGAGAGATGCATGACAGCCAATCCTTGTGCTCTCAGTCTCCAGGGGCCAATGCACATGCATTGTGCTCTCAGACAGCAACCATTTTTAGCTGACACCCAAAACACAGCACTGGGTCCAATTTCTCAGTCCTATAATTATGCAATCCTGCAGTAGAGAGGATTTAAAATCTAATTTAGAATATAAAATGCCTGCAGACACAGACAAGCGGAATCAGCCAATAATGAAAAGTCCCAGAATCGCATGTGATGTCTACTAATACTACTAACAGTTATTACCTCTCTTAACTAAAGTACACTTTTTTTTGATGGCCTTACTTCAATCTCGAAGCTAGAATCAAATGCCATCTGATAGACCCCAAAGTCTTGCATATCTGTTTACACTGTCAATCCAGAGGTCTTATTATTATAACATTACAAGAATTCCTGTAATGCACAGAATGAAAATGTTCATAATAGCTGCTCTTGTTTGTTGTTTATTCAACTCAAGGTTACCATGAGATGCACCTCATCATCTATTAAAGGGGTCATATCATGCGATTTCAATTTTTCCTTTCTCTTTGGAGTGTTACAAGCTCTTGGTGCATAAAGAAGATCTGTAAAGTTGCAAAGACTAAAGTCTCAAATCCAAAGAGATATTCTTTATAAAAGTTAAGAGTCAGCCACGCCTACCTAAAACGGCTCGTTCTAACACACCCCTACATACCTACATCACTATGTGGGAAGATTTGCATAACGCCGCCCAAATGTCATAAACATTTCATTACACCAAATACACAAAATAATGTTCTTTTTAGCAGCATCATATGACCACTTTAAAACATATTACATCTAAACTTAGAGCTGAAATCCTCAATACATTGTTCTTGAGGAAGATAAATACTGCTCAACAAAAGTGAATTTATTTGATGAAAAATACAGTAAAAACACTAATATCGTGAAACATTATTACTATTTAAAATAACTGTTGTAATATCTTGTAAAATTTAATTTATTGCTGTGATCAAAGCTGAATTTTCAGCATCATTACTCCAGTCTTCAGCGTCACATGATCAGAAATCATTATAATATGCTGATTTGATGTTCAAGAAACATTATCAATGTTGAAAACATTTGTGCTGTGTGACGAGTGGGGGTGGGGCCAAGAGCCGTGGGAACGAGGGGGATCGCGGAGCTGAGGAGATCGGGCAGCAGGAACAAGCGGAGAGACCGCCGGTGGCTGCCCGAGGCGGTGGTGCTGGAACTATGGAAGACGAGGTGGGACGGAGAGCTCGCTGCCGCGCTCCTGGGTCGAGGAGGGGTGGCTGCCATCCGAGAGGGAGCGGAGGAGTCGGCCCCGTTCGCCAGGAGGCCGGAGCCTGCTGCCATCCGCCATGATTGGGGAGGAGCAGGGAACGGGGGACTTGCTGCCGGCTGCCCTCAATAGGAGGAGCCATCGCCGTCCGCCAGGAGGCGGAGGAGCGGTGGGCCGTCCACCAACGATGTCCAGTACCATCGCATGGCACCGCGAGTGAGAGCCTCTCAGCCGGATGAGGACCAAGTGGCAGTGTGTCCGGGAACCGGACTGATCATTTTTTTTTTTTCTTTTCCTCTCTCCCCTCTCTCGTATCTGTCTCTCCTCATCCTTCCGTCTCCTTTTCTCTCGCCTCGTCTGTCTGTCCTT